CCTTCTGTCTGAAAGGGCCCAATATTCTCTCCTTTGTCTTGAACTCATTCCTCTTACCACTACACGTCATCATTTTGTCTCCTTCACTCTTTCATGGGCAGGTTTTTGTTTGTACGTTAATTTTTCTTAGCACACATTCCTGTTTAACCACCTCAGGCAGTTTTTTGAGTGCCCTTCACTCATCCCGTACATGTGTCGTGCTCTGAAGTTGGCAAGTAATAAGTACAGAAGCAGATTTCCCATAAACAGTAGTTTCTGGTACTGAGCACTTCCTTCATGTGTTCTCATTCGGTCTTCATACTGACCATTTTAAATATGCAAAAACTGATATGATCTGCGGTGTAGAGAGGTAAGAATGACTTTCCAGAGGCACACAGCTGGTGAGTGGGTGGTGAAACTAGTCAGATCGGTTTTCCAGTGGATGTCCCAAGCTAATGGCGAGGTGAAATCAGGATTTGCCTTGCCAAGCTGGGAGGGTTTACTGATTAAAGCAAGAGTTGGAGATAGACCTTAGGCATCAGTTTTTTGTTACTACAGAAACCATACCTGGGTGAACTATATCTTAAACCACATACGCATGTGCATCAGCTTCCTATTGCTGGTGTAACAAATGACCACAAACTTAGTGCCTTAAACAATACAAACTTACTCTAATTCTGTAGGAGTCTAACATGGGCCTCACTGCAAAAATCAAGATATCAGCGGGGCTGCAGTCCTTCCTGGAGGCTGGGGAGAATCGACTTCCTTGCTCTTTTTTTGCTACCTGCATTCCTTGGCTCCTGGCCCTTCCATCTTCAAAGCCATCAGTGGTGGGTTGAGCCTTACATCTCATCACTCTGACACTCGTCTGCCTCCCTCTTCCACATATAAGGACTCTTAGAATGACATTGAGCCCATCCATCTAATCCAAGATAATCTTTCCATTTTGTTGTCAGCTGGTTAGCACCCTTCATTCCATCAGCAGCCTTAGTTTCCCTTTGCCAGGTAAAGAAACATAGTCACAGGTTCTGGGCATTAGGATGTAATATGTTTGGGAAGAGAGAGCCATTCTGCCTGCCACCACATGCCACTTTCACAAGTCAGTAGGACAGCCGTCAGTCCTAAACTCTCTTGTCCTTGGTCTAGGTTGCTTCCAAGAGGTGTATGATTTTTCCCATTCTTCTCAGCCAAAGCTGGGACACAGTTTACCATCAGGTGTAGCCAGCTTGACATCATCTGAGGTGAATTTTATTCATGGGCCCGGGAATAGATTTCAATTGCTATCTCTCTCTCAATGGAAGGAAGACCAGATTCCATTAAGGGTCCCTTTATCAGGGAAAGGTGCCCACTCAGGCACTGTTTTAGACCTAGTTTCTTCAAGAAACTATCTGCATCAACTATATGGTGACAGAAGGAGATTTGACTTTGGGTGGTGAACACACAATGCAATACATAGATGATGTATTATTATAGAATTGTACACTTGAAAACTGTATAATTTTATTAACTATTGTCACCCCCAATATTTTTAATTTAGAAAAAGGAATGATAAAAAAGAGACTATCTGCAGGCTTCTTCAAGCATTGACCTATTCTCCATATGCTTGCTTCTACAGCACCTGCGTCCATCTCTAATATGATTTTTTTTTAAAGATTTTTATTGGGGAATTGGGGGGATGGGAACAGTGCTGGGGAATTGGGGGAAGAGGAACAGACAAGTTGCTGTCCTTTTGTTCTTCAGTCTAGTTGTGGAGGACGTTGCTTCACTGGCCCAAGTTGGCACCATCATTGCTCTCTTCCCAGGCGAGGCAGAGCAGTCGCTGGCCTCTCTGGACGGCCGCTCACGGCGGCTCTTGGCAGCTCACACTGGCTGCTGGCCGCTCAGGCTGGCTGCTGGCTACATATGGTAGCCCATGGCAACTCACTGCAGCAGGGGCTGCAGCCTACGCCATCGCCGGCGACTCACGGCAGCCCAGCTCCAGGTTGAGCTGTTGTTCAGCATCTTAGCTGTAGAGGCCAGTGTCACTGGCCCTCATATGTGGGATCCGAACTGGGGCCCTCTGGCGTCCCAAGCCAGCTCTTAACCAACATGCCACTCAGCCGGCCCTCTAATATGATTTGAGTGAATACTGTGTTCCAGGTGCTGAGCCATTCACAAGGCAATAGTAATAGTAGCTCTTTGCAACAATTACTATTTATCCCCACATGCACATATTCGACATATAAAATAGAAATGTTATTGCCTCAAAGTCTATTGGGATGTAATCATTGGAGGGTTTTGTGGCCCTGTTTTCATATTTAAACAAGGCTGTAAATGCAGATGTTGCTAATACTCGCATTATACTCAGGGAGGTTAAGTAATTTGTTCAAGACGACCCAAAACTTCAGTCACAAAATCCAGATACAAAACTACATTTCCTATATTTCCTCCATATCACTGAGAAAACTCAGCATGAGGGTGAACTACAATTATGGTGATAAAAGAGCTGTTTTGGCTGAAAGCTGGCAGTGAACAGGCAGTACAGGCTCAATTAGAGAACTGTCCCCACTGGCACATGCCTGGCAGGTTTATTCCCGACATCTTGCTGAGTTGTAAAAGCTCTCACTCCTCTAATTAAAAACCCTCAGAGGAAGGCTAAGGAGCTCTTAAAAGTGCGTCTATTTTTCATTAGCATTTCCTTTGGGTAGTTTTCTCTGCTCACCTGTGGTTATAAACACCATTGCTCTTGATCTGAGTTTCTATTGTCATCGACCATACGGCACCATTTTATGCTATACAGGGGTATTGCTGTTTATAGTGATTTAACTTTAGATCGTTAAACATTTCATTGAATTTGTTGACACTTAAGTTAGTTATGCAGAACACCACATGTAAGTGGGCAGGTTGTGTGAAGAGGTATTTCTCATCTTCACCTTACTTTCCTTTCCAGGATTAACAATATAGTCAGTCCTGAAACCATTAGAAGCATTGATTTTTAAACTACTCATTTCTTTCCTGAGGCTGTCCGTTTCACTTGCATCTTACAAGGTTGGGTATTCTGAGACCCCCATCTTCAGCCACAGCTTCCCGTCACTACTGGCTCCCAGTTCTGTCTCTAGGCCAGACCTCATTTCTGAGCTGCTGTGGGACATCTGAACTTTGTGGTTGACTTAATGCTTATGAATGGGTGGATGAACACTATATATTATGATTGGAGAAGGGAGAATCAAAAAGCTGTGGCAATTTTCTGTAAGCCATATAGCTTGTAGTTAGCTTTGTCTAAAGAGAAAAATGTGAAATGTGCCACTTAGGAGAACTAAAACTGTAGTTAATAAGTGTCATATGTAGCAAAACATAAAGCATAAATAATATATGTTATGTTTTAAGGGAAAAGTTCAAAACACAGGAGTGATTAGGCAAAGAAGGGATGGAGACAAAAGAGAGGGACAGAGATAGATAAGATGGGGTGTTATCACGTGGATGTCTATTAGGATATAGCAGCTGAAGGTTTTTGTGGCCCTGTTTTCATACTTAATCACGGTGGTAAATAGTGATGTTGCTAATACTTGACTTATTGAAGGCTGAAACCAAGCCAGAGCTGAGAGTACACGTGTGGCTTATTTGTCAGTTTTACAAAACAAGAAAAGCCTCTGGGGCTGGAACAGTCATTTGACCTGTTCTTCAACCCCGTCTGGAATTGCTTCAAGGTTAAATTAGTCTTTCCTTTGAAGACACACTTGACAGTGGATTGAGAGGAGCACGGACAGGGTTTTCATTCCTCCACAGCACTGGGGCCTCATCTCTGAGCTAGGTGGTTTTGGTGCCAGCTAGTGTCACTGTGTAGTATGTGACAGAGTGGAAGTAACAGGTTAATTTCGGTAGGTAGACATGCCAGCTGTATAAACTAGACTGGGAAAACTATTTCTTGATGCTGTTCCCCACCCTCCTGCACCCCAAAATAGACATTAAGTGATCTACCTTCCCCTGTTGGCTTCCCCTTGCCCTGTCCATCCCCTGCTCTCCCCTTGGTAGGAAAGATGAGGACTCTTTCGTGTGTTACTCATGAATTCAAGTGTAGAACAATATAATGGTTTACTCTGAAAACTGGTGAGAAATTGCTGGGTGACTTGGCACTGGGTTAATTTTAGCCTCTTTTTGTGATAGAGTCAAAAATGTTTTACCAGAAAGTGGAACTAAGAAACTTTAGAACTATTATGTAGGTAGAGGAGCAAGCCAAACAAAGTAGCAGACAGATAGATTTCTAAATGTGGAGCAGGATAAAACACTGCCTTCTTGGGTCAAAGGCATAGAAAAATAAGGTTGGGGGGTGGAGGAGGGAATTACCGTAAATTTAAAAACCTGTCAGTCAATTGCAAGGTGAGGACCTTATTTAGACCTGAAACTAACAAAGCAACTTTTTTTTCAAAAAGGACATTTTTGAGGACATCAGGGAACTTTCCATATGATCTGTGTATCGGCTGACACTGAGGAATTATTGTTACTTCTATCAGATGTGATAATGACATTTCAGTGGAAAATAATCCACTTATTTTGGTCCATCTGAAGTAGAGGTGAAATGGTTGGCAGTCTGGGATTTGCAACCATGGAAATGCTAACAGATAAAGCAAATGTGACAAAATTTTGGAAATTGTTAAATCTAGGTGATGGATATAAATGGGGTTCACTATACAGTTTTCTGTATCTACAATGATTGGGAAATTTCATATTGACTTCTTAAGTGTTTTTCGTGCCCTCCTGAATAGAGTTGAATTGTACCTGCAATCCAGTGTGGTTATCCTGTCACAGCCACCCGACCACAGACACTTTAATTCCTGTTGCAAAATATGTTGCTACCAACCCAGAGCCAGAGAAGCCAAATACCATCCAAAGCTGCTTTTTTAAACAGTTACCTTCAGCTTATTGAGCTATTGATTCTGGAGTGATGACCAGGATGGAAACCTAGATAACAGTTGATTTCACTAGTACTCAGAGAATGGAGAGATGGCTTAAAAAAAAAACAACCTTTTCACTTTATTTTGTAGGACCACCACAAGGCCTCAGACATTCTATGATGGGAGTCATTCCTGTGCCAGAGGAGTTTGCCATATTCCAATGGCTGAGCCCTTCTGTCCCAAAACGAGAGAGGTTTGTAATCTTTCCGGAAGGTGCATCAAAATAAGTCATAAGAGCTTGGGGTGGCATCTAGACTTAGATTAGTGAGCTAATAATAAGCATATGACCCCTCCTTCTCTTTCAAGTTTACTTCTTATGGAAGGTTTTATTAAGAGTTCCCCTTTGGGCCGGCCGAGTGGCTCAATTGGTTAAGAGTTAGCTTAAGAGCGCGAGCTCTGAGCAACAGGGCCGCCAGTTCGATTCCCACATGGACCAGTAATGCTGCGCCTGAGCTGAGCTGCCAACAGGTGGCAGGATGGCTCAGCTGGTGAGAGCACGTGCTCCTAACAAGACTGCCTGTTCGATGGTGGGCTATGCCCACCCACAACTAAGACTGAACTCAGCACCTTGAGCTGAGCTGCCACCGAGATAGCTCAGTGGATAGAGCATGCACTCTTAACAAGGCTGCTGGTTCGACTCCAGCATGGCATGGTGGCTGTGCCCACCCGCAACCAAGATTGAACACAGCACGTTGAGCTTAGAGGCCACGAGCTGCTGACAGGAGGCCAGATGGCGACTGGCGCCCTCCACAGCTAAGATTGAAGAACAACAACTTGGCTGGTCCCTTTCCCAATTCCCCAACACTGTTCCCTTCCCCCAATTCCCCAATTTACAAAAAAAAAAAAAAAAAAGAATTCCCCCTTTGCCAATAATGCCTCCACTACTCTCTATCATTTATAAAGCTGAATCACTCATAGTTGCAGCCTACCTTTTTTATAATTTTTTATTTTTGCTGTCAGGATACCTTTTAAATAATTTAGTATAGGCTAGCATATTAGTCAAGAGTATATAGTCTGGAATCAGATTACATGGGATCAAATCAAATCTCTGCTTTTCAGCTTAATAGCTGTGTGTCATTGGACAAGTTATTATACTTCACACCTCTGGGCTTCAGTTTCCTCATTTGTAAAATGAAGGTAATGATTACATGTACCTCATAGGACTGTGTGAGGGTTAAAAGAGTTAATACTTAAAAGTACTCTGAATAATGCCTGTTAGTATTGAAACATCCAATCACTGGTAACTGCTTTTGTGAATTAAATTATTATTATTGATACTCTATGAATTGTCAGATTGGCATCATTAACCTTTGAGCTGAGTTTGGTCATTACTGTCCAGCCTCCTCTCCAAGATTATCATAAAATCTCAGAACTAAGGGGACAGCCCCACAAAGGTCAATGGTGGTTCAAGGCGAGGAGCCATAACCTTAGCTCTCAGAGAATAAAAATGGTTACCACAACTCAAAATTCCATCTCATGGTTCACACATGGTACTCCTCATATAATCCCAGGCTTGAAAGTCAGGTGCAACCGAAAGATTAGAGGCATCATTAGAGGTGAACTGCCTAGTGAAATCTAATTTATGAATTAACTTACGGACTACAAATACTTAAACATGTTAATTTTTAGGTAAGTCAGCTAATTATAACACCTGTATATAGAATTCGGAAGATTTTTAGCTTTTATGTTACACCCTGCATAATCACGTAAAACTGGTTCTTACAGCTAACAGCCAGGGTACCTTACCCTCACTCTGGTCTCAAAATCAAATCTAGAATGTAAAGCTGGAGTTGCGGGAAGCTATTTCAGATGTACCACTGCATGTGTATTCCCCCTGACTTCGGGAAAGTACCTTTTTGTTTAAACAAAAATGGCGGGTTAAGTTTCTATGTATGCGTTTAGATGTATGCTTCTAAATATAGTTATCAGCAGAATATATCAAAACATTGCTAGTCTTTCCTCTGAAACACAGATCTAGCCACAGAATAAATTTGCTCTCCCTAGGAAACTAGATGTGTGTAAAATTCTTGTCCATTTCAAAATGGGGGCAGCTTGGGAAGAAATAGAATAGGGAGAGCATATGCCTGTTGGTAGGAAATCGCAGATCTTATCCCAGGCAAAACGTAGCGACTTTCAGTGTTAGGGATAGAGGTAGGCAAAGTAAGTGCTAGGGATGTATACAGAGCACATGTAAATTTGATGATGGGGTGATAGTTGCCAATTGTGCAATTTGGCCTCTTTCAGACCAAATTAGTTCAGCTATTATTAGTCTAGACAGGCGAAGAATCCCCAAGTAAAATTTAAAAGAGTCCTGGGGAGGCATTTTAACCCTCCGTTGGGCGCAACTGATCTTACAGATTCATTGCACACAAAGATGCCGCTATGAAATACGTCTTTGCTGTATGTACTAAGTCACAAACACAACTGGCGATAGGTTACGGTAGAGGGGGAGGAAACGGAAGCGATGAGACATGATACTTAAGTTAACGGGTAGATATTTGAAAATTTGTGTGCAATGAATCTGAGATCAGTTGCGCCTGACGGAGGGTTAAGAAAGTGGTGAATGATGTCAGAAACAAGGCACTGTGAGGGGTCCCCCTCTTGATCTCTCCCATTTAAGTTACAACAAGTTGAACAACTATAATTCAATGAAAGATTCCCTGTGCAACACACAAGCACGTCTGAGAGATCCATGCACTGAAACTTCTGAAGGTGGGTAAATCAGGGTGAACCAGGGGAGTGAAGGGGGAAGTACAGAGACAGGGCTGCCCACGGTAGCCCAGAGCTCACTGTGGTCTCTGGAGAGGGGAGGATTGAAACTGTACTCTGTGGCCCCAGCAGTTCTGCCTGAATGATCTGCATATAATAGGGCTGATTGGGGCAGTCACCTCCAGGCAAAGGCCCAAGTACAGAGGTGCTAAAACTGCGGTCTAACAGCCCTCACTGCCAGGCTGAAAACAGCCACGGAGCCTGGCTGCCTCTCCCCACCCTCCCAGAGCTCACCTCCCCCACACCCTCCAGTGTTAGCGTCTGGCCCCAGAAAAAACTGTAGCAGTTCAGATTGAAGAGCCAAATATCTACAGCCCTGAGAATCGAAGAGACTGTGGCAGACGCACACTGTGGCTAATCCCAGTAACACTGGAGGAGATATAGGAGCAAGGCGGCTGTGGTCTGGCAGTCGCCGTTACTTGGAGAACAAAGACACAAACACACCAGAGGCCTCTTCCACCCCACCTCCACCTTTCACGGCTGATCCCAGAGGAGGCACCCAGGGCTGCTAAGGTGCACAGCTCTGCATCTGGCTGCAGGGGCAGCACTCAGATTTCAGAGGCTCAGAATCCCATCCCCCACCACATCCTCCCGTGTGACAGAGGTGACCTACTCACGGAAGAGAAACCCACCTCCCCAGTAACTCTCACACCGTGCGGAAAGCTAGAACAGGGCAAGAGAAAGTAAAATGTTCCAGTGCTGCTTACTGGAAAGCCAAAGAAGGGGCTCTTCATATCAGCCTGCTTCAGAATTCATTCCCATAAATGCCCAGGAAGAGAAGTAATTCATCAATTACCATGAATACCCAAAGTAACAAGATAGCTCAGAAAGGAAATGAAAAACCTCCAGAAAATAAAGACATGAACATATGCAACTTAAATGACAGAATTCAAGATTGCAGTTCTGAAAAAAACGAAATACAAGAAAACTGAGATAGGCAGTTTAATGAACTCGAACAAAATGAATACCAAAGAGACTGAATTTTTTTTAAATAACCAAATAGAAATTCTGGAGCTGAAGAACTCAATAAAAGAAATGAAGAATGACATACTGAGCTTAGGAAATAGCACTGACCAGATGGAAGAAAGAATTAGTGATATCGAAGATAGAAATCTGGAAATGACACAGCTGGAAGAAGAGAGACTTGAGAGTTAACAGAAATGAAAGAACTCTACAAGAACTATCTGACTCCATCAGAAAGAGCAATATAAGAATAATGGGGGGAGGGGGGGAACCGGCCGAGTGGCGCGTTGGTTAAGAACTGGCTTGGGATGCCAGAGGGCCCCGGTTCGGATCCCACATATGAGGGCCAGTGACACTGCCCTCTGCAGCTAAGATGGTGAACGGCAGCTCGACCTGGAGCTGGGCTGCTGTGAGTCGCCGGCAATGGCGTAGGCTGCAGTGGGCTGTCATAAGCTACCGTGTGTAGCCAGCAGACAGCGTGAGCGGCCAGCAGCTGCCATGAGCGGCCATCCAGAGGCCGGCGACTGATCTGCCTTGCCTGGGAAGAGCGCAATGATGGTGCCAACTTGGGCCAGTGAAGCAACGTCCTCCACAACTAGACTGAAGAAAAAAATGACAACAACTTGTTTGTTCCCCTTCCCTGATTCCCCAGTGTTGTTCCCCTCCCCCAATTCCCTAATAAAATCTTTAAAGAAAAAAGAATAATGGGAAAGCTATGCTTCCTGCATCCCAGGATCACACCAAAATTACAAGTAAATTAAAGAACAATCAACCTCAAGAATCGCCTGAACACTAGCTGAACAGAACCCCTATGACTAAGGATATAGAGAAGAGACCACATCAAGACTAGTAGAAGGGGCTGACCCCAAACCCACAGATAGTGGTTGAACACCAGGAGGGATACCTCAGTGACAGGTCCCCCCAGAAGAGGGAGGGTTCCCAGCCCCACATGAGGCCCCCCAGCTCAGGGGTCTTGTGCTGGGAAGAGGAATTCCTACATCTGACAGTGAAAATAAGTAAGGTCTTTGTCTGCCCCTCCCGGTGAGACAGAAGGCAGCGCGAAACCAGACGCTCTCTTAAAGAGCCCACATGCAGACTCGCTTGCGAACACTCAACCTGGTCTCTGGTGGAGGAGTGGCAACTCGGGGGGTGCCAGAGACATACAGGGAAAGACTGAGTTCTGTGGCTGTGGGGCAACAGCTAGAGGGATAAGAGCCATTAACCTTGTGTGGAGCCTGACTAATGTATAACCTATAGTTGGGCGCCATCTTTTCTGTGTTGAACCCTCCTCCAAAGGATCAAATCCGAGACCACATTGGTCTGGTGAAATCCACACGTGTGCAACACCTTGATGACACCCTGGGTTCCCACCCTGCACAGCTGGTATTGCATCGCCTGGGTCACTCTCAGCTACTGAGCAGCCAGACCCACCCCCACAAGCTGTGGAGGCCTTTTATAGCAGCAGACAGCCCACAGCAACCCAGGAACAGGTGGTGGGCAGTGACCCAAAACCTGCGCTACAGCCTCTCATGGGTAGCTCTTGGGGATTTGCAAGCCTGAGGCGAGTGGTGGCTGGCAGCTGTGTTCTCAGGGCGTTTGGCAAAGTGGTCACAGGCCAGACACTGCCTGAGGCGAGGGAAGACTGGCTGTGGTGTTCTTGGGGCACTTTGCAAAATGGTCCCAGGCTGGGCACTGGCAGAACACCTGAATCTGCATTAACTTTGTAGAAACCATCAGCCATGCCTTGCAACTCCCTGGAACCCGCCCCTCCCAGGTAGGACTACATCGCTGAGGGTATGCAATTCCAGGTCAGCCAGCCCCACCCCTGTGCCTAAGGAGGCTATTTCAGTGGCTAATCCTCATGGGCAGCCAGAAGATGTCAGTAGACCTAGGGAGCCCTGGGCCTTTTGCTAAGCTGCCCCAGGCCCAATACTGGTAGCATCCTGCCTTAGTTCACAGTGAGGCCTCCAGGTCCAGCACAGGCAGCAGCCAACCATATATAACTTTGAGGCTTTTAGCAGCTAGCCGTAGGCCGGTCATAGGCAAGGCTGAAATTGGCCTGTATGGAGACCCTCCTAAGAGACACCAGAAACAACACACCCAGAGGCCAGCATCAGACCACACCAGAGCACTACCTGGTTAGCCCCACAAGCAGCACATCCAAAGGGGGGTCTCAGCAGGTGCAAGAGCTCATGGGGGCCACTCCCTCTCTGAGGGGTCAGCCCCCACACTGCAACTCATGCACTGTTTGTGTATCCAAACCTCACAGGCAGTCAGCCTGAGCGTCAATCCCACCCACTGATGTGCCAAAAGCAATCAAGTCTCAGCTACAACAGAAAAACACTCTCAAGGGACAGTCCTGGAAAGACACGCACAAGAGACCAGGGAGATTCGCCATTAGACCACACAGGACACATACTACGTAAGACAACCCAGCAAAGACTGAGAGACATAGTTCTACCTAGTACATAGAAACAAAAACAGAGAGGCATCCAGAATGAGGAAACAAAGAAACATGTCCCAAATAAAAGAACAGGAGAAACCTCCAGAAATAGAACTAAACGAAATGGAAGCAACCAACCTATCAGAGACAGAGTTTAAAACACTTGTTATAAGAATGCTTAAGGAACTTAGAGAATTTCAACAAAGAGATGACAAGCATAAAGCAGGATATAGAAACCATAAAAAAGAACCGATCAGAAATAAAAAATACAATAACTGAAATGAAGAGTACACCAGAAGGAATCAACAGATTAGATGAAGCAGAGGATCGAATTAGTGATGTAGAAGACAAGGTAGTAGAAAACACCCAATCAGAACAACAAAAAGAAAAAAGAATATAAAAAAATACAAAGATAGTTTAAGGGACCTGTGGGACAACATCAAGCGCAACGACATTCACATCATAGGGGTACCAGAAGGAGAAGAGAAAGAATAAGGGATCGAGAACCTGTTGGAAGAAATAATGACACAAAACTTCCCTAACCTGGCAAAGAAATAGATACAGAAGCTCAGGAAGTGCAGAGAGCCCCAAACAAGGTGAACTCAAACAGGCCCACACCACGACACATCATAATTAAAATAGCAAAGGTTAAAGACAAAGAGAGTATCCTAGAAGCAGCAAGAGAAAGACAGCTAGTTGCTTACAAGGGAGCTGCCAGTACAGTAAATCCCCACTTAACCTCATTGATAGATTCTTGGAAATTTTGACTTGATGTGCAGCAACCTATAACAAAACAAATTTTATCATAGGCTAATCGATGCAAACAAGAAGAAAGTTCCTATGGCATATTTCTGGTCACAAAAACATCACCAAACTTCTAAAAGCAAAGACCCAAAGCCCTTCTATTGAATATTTAAATAAAAGTGAGCTTATACATGCATTTAAGAAAGGTGCATAAAAACAAGTAAGATGATTATTTTCTAGCCTGCTTATTCCAGTTCAGAGTTGCAGGTGGCCAGAGCTTACCCAGTCAGCTCAGGACTCTAAGCGGGAACCCACCCTGGACAGGACGCCTTTCTGTCATAGGGAGCATTCACACACACCCACAGTCACTCAGACTGCGACAATTTAAATATGACACTTTAGATACAACCTAATGTCACATCTTTGAGATGTGGGAGGAAAGCTGAGTACTTGGAGAACACACGTGCAGACATGGGGAGAACGTGCAAACTCCGCACAGATAATGGCCCTGACCAGGAGTCGATTGATTGTTTTCTCATCAGTGTTATAATGAAATGTTATTCGAGAACCGGCTGTATTAATAATGGGTAGAGGACCAGTTTAGCATTTATATAGTGTTTACGATGTGCCTGACACAGTTATGTGCTGTATATCCTTAGTTCGTTTAAGCCTCACAATATTCTGCAATACAATTATTCCCATTTTACAGATGAGAAAACTAAGACAAAAGGTAAGTGAATTTTCAGCAGTTCTTAAGTAAATTAACAGTTAAGTTTAAAAGACTAATTTTTTAATTTAAAAAATGTTGAAGCACAGTCTAAGAAAAAAACAAAATTAATGAATAACCTGAAGATTAGAATGTGCGTTATTAATTAGACACTGGATAAAGTGATCAGACTTTTAAATAGGGTTTCTAAAACCCATGCATGGCTTGCCACTAAAGGGATGCCGAGGTCAGTTTATCCCTGGACAGAAAAAATCAGCATGGCCCCATCCTGTTTTTACCGTTTGTCCTTGGAGAGGCATCAGGCAGAAGAGATTATGAAAAAATCACTTTCTAATCAAAAGAAGGCTTTTAGCAAAAGTCTTCAGATTTTGTATAAAAGAGCAACGAGAATGAATTTCTCAGGAGCTTGGAAACAGTTCCTAGCACATCCCTCTGCGATGTGAATGAGGAGCAGCACCTCAACTGAGCCTTGGAAGTTAAGAGCTCAAGTCCTTGTTTCTAGCTCACCTTAGTCTCTTAAAGCTGTTAAGAAGTAAATGAGATTAAAGCATGTACACAAATTTTGGTGCTTAGGCAAAGCTTACTGTTTGCTCTTGTAACTATGAGCTATATGTGCAGGTGGTGGGGAAACAGGATATATAAGAGGGTCTGGAAAACTGGGATCTCCCGGATTCTCTGAGAATCTGCAGCTACTAGGCTTCTGTAGTAAAAATCTTTAAGTAATCAGCTTGTTAAACATCAGGAAAAAAAATAAAATATTAAGCTGTACTTACGTTTTTATGTTTTGAGTTTGTGGTTCTTTTTTTGCTAGGTCCTCATAGAGACTGCGAAGAAGCTAGGACTCCGGTGCCACTCAAAAGGGACAATGCTCACAATCGAAGGGCCTCGCTTTAGTTCACGGGCAGAAAGCTTCATGTTCCGCACCTGGGGGGCAGACGTGATCAACATGACCACAATTCCAGAGGTGGTTCTTGCTAAGGAGGCTGGACTTTGCTATGCAAGTATCGCCATGGCAACAGATTACGATTGCTGGAAGGAGCACGAGGAAGCGGTAGGTGGAATTCTCTCCTGAGCATGGATGGCCTGAGTTTCCAGATGCCATGAGCACCATTAAGAGAGGATCTTAACTATTTGCTTCTATTGCATTAGTTCCAGAAAGTGCCTGTCTACCAGGTTTTAAAGTCAGCTTTTAATCCATTGTCATTAGGTATTACCAGATATTTTCTATAGTTCCCTTTGGAAAGTAAGAACCAAGATCTTCACAGGAAAGAAAAAGACACTTTTATCCAAGGATCAACAGCGAACAGTACGTTATAGGCATATAGATGTGTTGGTAATAAGACTTGAGCCTTATTTTAAGGATAAAGGTGTCTTTTGGATATAATTTCCTTGTGCTGTGCTACTGTTTATGTTTTTTTAAAGGGAAGAACTTACTATTTCTTACCTCTTCCTGGTAAGTAAACTCTATATTCACATCTGTCTGTTTAACCCATTGTGACTGGAGACCTTGCTTGGTGTAGGAGCATGACAGCAAACAGACACGTTTGTAAGGAGCCAACATTCTGGGTTCTTTAGGGGATGTGGTAGAGATTAAGCAAACCAACGTGACATAGCTCAGGACTATAAAGAAAGAGTGTGGTGAGGAGTACATTTCCAGTTGACCCAACCAAATATTTGTAGTCTGGGAAGCCTTCCTTAAGTGTAGTGGGAAAGATAGGTGCTTGAGAAGAGGGAGCGAGAAGGAGGCAGAGCTTTGGAGACCGTGTAAGTGTTTCAGATGGGAGGTCAGGGAGGAGTTGTAGGCAGCAAAGTCCAACTAGTATTTGAGGGTGCTGGACTACCGAGGTCAGGCTTCCAAAACATACATTTTCATTGTGGTAAACTTTGAACGTCTGCATAAGTAGGGGCCAGTGTAATGAACCCCAGTTACCCATCATCCAGCTTTCCACAGTTATCAGCTGTGGCCAACTTTGTGTCATATATAAGCCCCTACCCATTTCTCTCTCCCTGGCCTTCATTATTTTAAAGTAAATATTTTTACTGAAAGGCCTCTTTTTCTTTTAAATAAAATAATAAAAAACACAAGACCACTGTACCAAAAAATATTGATTTTTTTATATAATCGAAATATTGAGACAGTTCACATTTTCCCTTTCGTCTCATCATTTTCAACTATTCAAATCTGAGTCCCTTATAATCTACACATTGCGTTTGAATAATGTGTCCCTTAAGTCTTTTTTAAGCTCATATTTCACTCCCCCCCTCCTTCATTCCTTAACATTTTCCTTGAGGAAACCAGATCATTTGTCTAGAATAAAGAAAGGGACAAAACTACAGTGGAGGAATTTTGAAATAAGGAAAAGGTGCAGGGGTAGGATGTTATTGCTGAGTGTCTATCCATGTGTGTGAGTTTGAGTCGTAGATGAACACAGGTTCTTTGTTTTGCATGAATGCCTTATCTTATCCTCAGTGTAATAAACTATGAGGATGCTTCATATGTAAGAGATTTATAAATCCTGATACAACACAATCCCTGACTTGGCAGCTTTGGTCACCTAAGGGACAGCTAGCTCAGCCTCTGCCACTTTGTGAGAATGGATTGCTTCTTGCCTGTGGCTTTCTGCTCAGCCTCGTAACATTTCTCTCTTCTGCAGAGCTAACGGGGCTTCCCCTTAGTAGGTCACATGAGGTTTGGAAAGCAGTCAGTTGGAGCTACTTCAGTTAAAAGTAAAGAAACTGAGTTCTGTGTAAGTGGTAAGGCATGAAGACAAATAACATTAGATGCCACAAGGAAGGTATAACAAAGGTGGCAGAGAATGGCTGGTGTTTGAGGATGCTGGAGTACTGAGGTCAGGCTTCCAAAGCAAATATTTTCATTGTGGAAAACTTCGAACAGCTGCAGAAGTACAGTCTAGTATAATGAACCCCATTTACCCATTACCTAGCTTTGTATCCTTATCAGTCATGCCCAGCTTTGTGTTATATCTATGCCCCTACCCACGCCTCCCTCCCCTGCCTTCATTATTAATCATCTCAGCCAGCCATGTGTATCATCATGCTTCAAACCAGATGTTCAGCCTGGCATGATAAAAAGGTTTTAGAGTTGCCAAATGCATCTTCAGATTACTATTCCTCCATTTACTTGCACCACTGGGCATGTTGTTTAACAAGTTCCTCTTCTGTAGGATGGAGCCAGGGCTTGGGGCTGAGTGAGAGGTGTGGGTTGTTCAGTTACACTTTGACATTGCTGGATTACTGGGGAAATGAAGCCCGATTACACATGTAGTGCTGGCTCCTAGGAGGGTGGTCATTAGATGGTAGCAATGACAGTTGGGTGGAAAGACCCCCAAAAAAAAAAATTGTGAAGATGAAAACTTTTGAGATTTGAGCTGGACCTTGAACAGATGGTTAGAATTGATGGTGAGAGGTTAGTAGAAAGGCATTTGTGTTGAGCCCAATAGCAGGAACAAAGAAGAGAGAGAGGTCAGAGTCTATATAGAAATATCAGTCACGGGAAGAGTGGAAGGAAAAGAGTAAATATAAGGTAAATCTGTTAGATGCTTTGACCCTACATTCAAAGACTCTGCTTAAAATGTGCCTGCACATGTACCTGGCATGCACCCAGCTGGTCACTGCTTTGTGTTCTCACAGCGATGGGACTCCCTCTGCCACGGTACTTAGAATTTTGTCTAAACACATCTTGGGGTTTGTGGTAGGGGTCTGGGCTTTATAGTCCAGGAAATTGAATGAAAGATGTAATCATTGTGTCCCTGAATCTTGGATTTCTTCTAAGTATAGTGAAGCACGACAAGTACTCTACCTCTGATCATCCTTTTTATATTCACAACTTTTTCCACCTTTTCCTTATACAGCAATTTTAGTCATATACAAAAGTAAACAATAATACAAACTTCATGAATCCAACATCCAGCTTCAACCATTATCATATCAATGTATAGCCAATTATATTTCATCTATACTCTGATCTATAACTTTATCCATAAACATTAGGTGATTTCTTTTATTTTTTTTTAAATTGGGGAATTGGGGGAGGGGAACATCGCTGGGGAATCGGGGAAGGGGAACAGACAAGTTGTTGTCCTTTTGTTCTCCAGTCTAGTTGTGGAGGATGTCGCTTCACTGGCCCATGTTGGTATTATCATTGTGCTCTTCCCGGGTGAGGCAGATGGGTCGCCAACCACTGGACAGCAGCTCACACTGGCTGCTGGCCACTCACGGTAGCTTAAGGCAACCCACTGCAGCCTACGCCGTCGACTCATGGCAGCCCAGCTCCAGGTCGAGCTGTTGTTCACCATCTTAGCTGTAGAGGGCGCAGCATCACTGGCCCTCGTGTGGGATCCAAACCGGGCTTCTGCTGTTCAGAGCTCACGCTCCCAAGCCAATTCAACCAACACGCCACTCGGCTGGCCCAGGTGATTTCTAACATAACCCCATTGTCGTCACATTCCAACAATAATTCCTTACTATACCCAGGCGAAATTCCAGTTTCTGATTATCTCAAATATTTCAAATGATTTTTTTCTTCCAAGTTTTCTAAAAAGAAACCAAGTCATTTGACCTGTCCAGTTTTCCACAGTCAGCATTGCAGAAATCATCTCCTCAGGGTATTGTAGTTCTCTGTCCTTTTGTGTTTTCTCTGTAAATTGGCAGCTAGATCTAGAGATTTGATCAGATTCAGGTATCATAAATACTGTTTTGTTTTTTCATCAGGAAAGTGGGTTGTTTATTTGGTTTGGGTTTTTTTGTTTTGTTTTGTTTTGTGATGTTAGCAGCTCTATTAATTCATTGAGAGCTCTAAAAAGAAAAAATGGTGAAACTTTGATTTGTTTTTTCTTTATTTATTAGCTGGAAGACTTTTCTAAAGAGAAATGTGTTTATCTTCTGACTGGTTTGTTTTCCAGTGTAGTTTTAAGGCTGGAATCCATTCTACAGACATGGGGAGAATAGCCACAGCTTTCTAGACCGTACTCTAACACACTACACGTCTGAGATAGTTTCTCAGATACCATATTGAAAATCAGTAGTGCTATTCAGAGATGTCATTGGGTTTCTCCAAGACCTACCCCTGGGGCCAAGACCATCTTGATAAATGTAGAACTTGGGCCCAGGGGATTGAAGCTGGAGCAAACTGACTTCACAGATAAGTTAGGAACTCAGGAAAATGTTCCACAAAAGCAGTGGAATGTTTAATTGCTGGTAACATCCTGTGCTGTTGTTTCTCTAGGTTTCCGTGGACCGGGTTTTAAAAACCCTGAAAGAAAATGCCAATAAAGCCAAGAGCTTACTTCTCACTACCATACCTCAGGTAGGGTCCATGGAATGGTCAGAAACGCTGCATAACCTAAAGGTAAGCATCCTTAGCCGTCTGCAAGTATGGCGGGCCAGCCGCCACAAGTCGATCAGTACCTAAAGGGGGGAGCGGGAATTAAAGAAAGAGACACACTCACGACTGCTGATGCGGCCGGTCTTCAGGTTTTCTGAAGCCCCGAGTTTATTTTCCACCACCATTATATACATTCAGGGTGAGTACAAAAAAGAAAGGACAAATACGTATTACCTCATTCCAGAGTAATTAATTGATAATCCACTTAGAAAGTTAAAGGTCAGTGGGGACAATTTCTTCCATAATCCCAGATAGCCATCTATCTTTATTGTGTCTCCCAAGGCACTGGCCATTCTCTCCACATACCTCGAGATTAAGCAAAACACCCTCCAGGTGCAAGTAAAACAAGAAGTAAAACAAGATATGCAATCAGTAAAGTCAGCCTGCATGGCTCCCAACATGCAAGCAGACACTTCCATAGAGCCTCAGCTACCTTCTTTCCTCTTCCTTGCATTTCACCTTTGGTCCATCTCCTTATGTATTTTGTACTAGCCTAGATGTTTTCTATGAGTTTTCATGCCGTGTACTACCATAGTAACCATGTGTGAAATTGAGTAGTCCTATCTGGCTGATAATGCAAGACCAGTGGAAGTTGAGGTGGGGAGAGTTTTCTTATCTAAGCTACCAGGTTCTTGACATTGTTCTGTTCTGCAACGTATCTCTAAGTGTAACTTCAGAAGATGGATTGTGCTTGTTCTGCTCGTGGCCTACTTTGCTGACAAAGTTGTTTTCTCTTTGGCAGATCCATGCCCAGTGTTGGCAGCCTTTAAAGCTAAAACTGACAAGGCAGTACCAAAATGGTGCTGGGGAATATCTTCTTACGGTTAATGCTGCATCAAACTAAGACAGTAATTATTGACAAACATCGGATGGGTTGCACATTGGTAGCTTTTCAACTCTAGTATTAATTCCCGGAATATACCAAGCTCAGAGATGCATGATTTTTATTTGGACACTTCGCGACTCTCTTGATTAACCATGTTAGAGATGGAATTGCCTCAAATTGATCAGATATTACATTCACCTAATATCCGAAGAAGGTGGTCAGTATATCCTAAGGTTTCCTAGAACATGCCTATACTCTTGGTTCTTACGGCAGTAGTTGAGAGAGGGTGTGAAAGGTTAATATAAGCCCTCTCGACCCAAATTATCATTGAGGAGCCCTGGAATGAGAGCCACATGTTTAGTCTGATGAGGACACAACATGATAGTAAATGATTGACAACCTCTGGCCATGGAAGAGCCAGGATGTACAGTGTTTTCCAACTTGCATGGTATAAATGCTCCATCATGACTGATTTCAAGCTGCCTACACAAAGCTGCTCATAAGCTGGGATATGATACACATAGTTGGTTCTTGCAGGCTGGTACAAGCAGGCCTCCACATGCTACTGCAACTAAGATGCCTCTCAGCCCTTAGGACTGGCAGGGTCAGGAGTATGGGAATTTATAATCTACATTCCCTGCTAGACTTTTCAGCCCATAAGGAGCAAGAAACACATCTGTTGGTTTCAACCTGTATACCTAGGAGATAGGTGTTGTTTAATGAATAAATGATAGCCCCCTTTTCTCAAGAAGCATTTCATCATAATTGAAATACAGGAAGTCCTTATTATCATTATGAAGAAGAGAACAGAAAATAAATGGGAAGAATGGGGGAATGTCACTTTAGAAATGGTTACCTTCAGCTGACTGTAATGAGTATAATGCAATAGAGTGGCATACCCCTTTAGCGTCTTTAAATTAGCACACTTGATTTGTGGGAAATGTGACTCATACTTTTGCTTCTGCTAAGGTTACTGTTACCTGCAAGATGTGATAGGTTGGGGGTTTCTTTGTTCTTGTGTTTTTAGGTTTCCTAGCTGACCCCATTTTGATCATAGTCTCTTAAAGATAATTTGTTAAACAGTGAATTTATTATTTGTTTCATTTTTAAGTAAAAATGCTGTATGTTAGAAATCAGTGTTCTCCTCTCCTTTGAAGCTTCTGAAAGTGTATGTAAAATTGTGTAGTTCTCTATGTATACATTTTAAAAAAGGGTTAGTGTGTGTAGCTTTTATCAGATTCTCAAAGACATAGAAGACCTAAAGACAGAAAATGAAGAACTGCTGCTCTAGACAAAATTGAGAATCATGCCTTCCTTCATAGCGTTAAGGAACACCTTACAACAATTCTTATTCTGGGGTAGTATTTTTCAGTCGTCTCAGCACTGAAATGTATATCATTCATTCACTCAAAAATTCATTTCAGGAACAGTGAGTATCCACTATATGTCAAGCTGTGGTTTGCAAAGATATATAAGACTTGTTGTCATGAAGAAGATCCTATTCTGTTTGCAGCTACTAACATATCAAAACTTTTATGATTTTTTATTTTATTTTTTTTAGTGGGATAAAGTGTAAAATGGAGGTTGTATAAACAAAAATCTGGGCTGTGGGTTGGTGTATAATAGGTGTCCTGGTGGATCTAAAAGGGGATGGAGATAAGAGAGAATCAGAGCAGTCCCCTGAGATACTAATTATGAACCTCACTTTATAGGAGAGGAAAGTAAGAGTTAAGTTATGCAGAAAGCCCCATATCTAGTCAGTGATTTTTACATTGGTGAACTTGAAAATTTTCTAGTGAGTTTATTAAAAGTGGATGTCCCATGGTTCCTCACTCTATAAGACCAAAAATGGCTTTTAACAGCATTGCAAGTGATTATCAGGCAGGAAAGTCACTGCCTACAGTGAGGATTTGGTTATTTGTGATCTGTGCCTACTTTTTTTTTTTCAGAATATGGCCCAGTTTTCTGTTTTATTACCAAGACATTAAAATTGCATGGCTGCCCCGAAGACAAGAAGACTTTCTAATTCTAGTCATTTAGGAAATTCCCACTTAATTTGAAGAAATTTGGAAAAACTTTTCATGCCCTTGCCTGCTAAGGAAGAACATGTGGGCAGATAAGACATTGCCAAGGTGAAAGATGCCTTCTGAAAGACATGGACTGCTTCAAAAAACAGGGAAGGCAAATAAGTAAATGTGGAAGATTCCTACACTTTAGGAAAAAGACAAGAAGATACCACTCACCCTTCCCTCATTAAATTCCTAACAATAAAGGGTGGGAGGTAGCATCCAGCTTCCTATATTGCCAAGGAATATGAAGACAAAGTGGAACTCTTAGGCCGTTTATTGCTGTCACTGTAAATTGGTACAATCTTTCTGGAGGACAAATGTATCAAAAGGCTTAAAAATACATATACCTTTTGTGCAGGTTACTCTACTCCTAGGAATTTATCTTTCAAAAGTTAGGAGAAATACAAAGAATTATGTACAAAGACAGATGTTTAATACAGTATTAGTTATAGTAACAAATATTCAAAACAATCTTGAGTATCCAAAAATTTGAAATAAATTATGGTTTCGCTCTAGTTAGATTGTGAAGCAGCCAACTGAAGATGATGCTTTTACTAATATTTAATGTCTTAAAGAATTGGTTGCTCTATAATATGAAGTGAAGAAAGGATATGTAAGCATTTTACAGTACTAATTTTAAGTCTATGTAAATGTACAAAAAGACTAGAAAGAAATATATAACGTTTTGTTATTGTACATGGGGGGGCATACTGGATAATTTTAATTTTCTTTATATTTTTCTGTCTTTACATTTTTTTCTACAATGAATATAATCAAATAGTGAAGTTGTTTTAAAAATAAAAATGACTTAAAAGGATCTGGTTTTTGAAAACTGTTTCTGGTAATGAAGCAAAATTTAAGATGGTAGTACTAAGAGTTCTGTTTTAATTCCATCTTTGTTAAAAAAAAGGATCATTAATGACTTTTACAGTCAGAACAGTACTTGGGTTTGCAACAACTTCTTGAAAAAAGCTGGGTGTTTAAAACTAAGAGTGGAACTATCAGACAATATACATACATACTGTGCCAGATACTTTTAAAATTAATATTTCACTTATTTCTACTCCTTTTTATGAGTTGATGAATTATTTTACAAGTTGATGTTTTTTGTTTTTTTAATATAATGGAAGCTTGCTTTTTTTATTGTTAGTTTTATAGGAATGTATCACAGGAAGATCTTTTTTCCTCAGAATTATTAATTTTCTTTTTACTGTGACCTGTTCTTTTCATTGTGTTCTTTACTGACGGATCTCTTGTTTAAAGAGTCTGTAAAGTCAATGTGTTTGTGTCTATGGATTGCCTTCAAGTTAATAAGCTGCTAATTGTAAACAATAAAATAAAGCAGTTACCCTCCAGCATTAATACTGAGCTGTTTGGGTTACATGTGATCATGACCCTTGGATTCTCTAATGTAGTGGTTTCAACTCTGGTTGCACATTAAAGATCCACAAAGGACCTAGTGGATCTGAACCCAAGGTTCTCTGGCTCTGTAACCCATGATTGTTTTCACTACCCTGTAATACATATTATATACCTCTCTTTCATTCTTAGATGTCTGAAAATGTCAAGACAAAAACATGTGGGCATTTTTTTGCTGTCTTCAGAAATACAGTTCTCCCCAACTTAGGTATACTTTTCTTGATCCAGTAGTCTTTTCTAGCAACCTCATATCCAGATTTCTCAAATGGAGTATACTCCAGTTTTCTATGTTACCCATCATTCACTCCTTATACAAAACCAATATCATTTTCATCATACCTCATTCTTGAGAACTTTGCTGACTGTTTCTTCCTGGAACACTTCTGACTTCTATGATACATAACTACTTTTTCTTTCTTTCTTTTTTAACTATGAACTTGAGTGAACAGCATTTTGAGCCTTTGGAAGCTTCCCTGGATTATGGGAATAATGGAAAAGTTCTAGCTTAGTGACTCAGGCCCTTGGAAGAGTGCCGAGTTACTGATTAGTACATTTTCATCTACTTAGAAATTTTTACTGGTATTATGAGCTGCTTATTTTTGTTTTGCATTGGTTTTTCATGATTTTGAGGACGAGACAACCAAAATAATTCATATGCAAAGTGTTAACCAAAAAAATAGTGAAGAGGCTATAATAGCAGGGCTACATTTTAGACCTAAAAATATTTTGCAGATTAGCCCCAGTACACTAGAGTTGTTTATACTAGGCAACTGAAAAAGATATGGGTTTGATTTCATAGGTATTTTGTTGGAGAGCACATTTTTTCAGAATAAAAAAAAGTATTTGATGATTTCATTTACAGAAGATTAAAAGGAAATTGTCAGTGTTTTCAAACTATCCTCTCAGTTTTATAGATGATTCAGGGTTAAAAAGTTTACACATGGGAATGTGATGACACATTTGTGAACTGCTCTTTTTGACCTCACTTTAGTTTACAAATCCCCCCACCCATAAGAATCAAGATTACAAGGCCAAAGCAGTCAAGTAATAGGAAAGCCAATTCCAAATATATACAAAAGTACGAAGAGCAGTAATGAACCCTTATCCATCTCCCAGCTTCAAGAATTATCTCAGCCAATCTGTTTCTTCTAAACCCCCACCCACTACCCTCCTCCCATGTTATTTTGAAGCATTTCTCAATATAGTGCATAATTGCATCCATGAATATTTCAATGTTATTTCTATAGGGCAAATATTTTTAAGAGCCACAAAAACATTAACAAAAAAAAATTTCTAAATGTCCTCAAATATGCAGTGAATATGCAAAAGTTCAAATGTCTCATAAATGCCATTTTTTACACATTTATTTGAATCAGGAGCCAATAAAAGTTAACACATTGGAAGTGGTTGATATGTATTTTGTATGTTCACTCTCCCTCTTGCTGACTCCATTTCTCCTCCTCTCTCCTTATCTTTCATGTTCTCTCTCCCTCCCTCCCTCCCTCCTTAAAGTTTATTTGATGAAGAAACCCAGTTGATTGTCCTCAAGAGTTTCATATAATCCAGATCCCCATAGTTCAGTTTAACATAATCCTCTGTATTCCCTCTAAATTGATAAATCGAATCTAGCAGATTTTTTTTTTCAAGACTACTTCAGAGGATGTGTGGTATGTTCTTCCATTAGGAGGGTCATAATGTCTCATCTCTTGGATGTTAACAGCTATCAGCTTTTAATGCCTCTATCCATGAAATTAGTATGAGTTGCAAAAAAAAAAATTACATTCCAATTCAGCTACCTCCATTTAAACACATGAAAAGTAAGGTGACAACATTCCTGTTTGAATTAAGATTAAGAAGTAATATGTACAGAGCATTTCATACAATTTAACATAGCAACAAGCTTAGTAAACAAGGAATCGAAGTTCCTTAGAATTTAAAAATGGTTCACATATATACTGTGAAATGCATATTGGATAAATGATTAGGAACAGAGCCACAGGAAGAAAAAATATAAGAAAAACAATGAGACTATCTTAAAATACTAGGCAGATTTTTTTAAAATAATACTGAAGGAAATTAAAAATATTGTCAATAAAATTACAAACAGTTATTTAGAACATTAAAATTGAAGATAAAATTGGTTAGCTGGATTATGAACTCAAGGAAAAGCCCAGGGTGTAGAAAGAAATAAAAAGATTGAAATGATGATAGCTTAAAACATAAAATGTATCAGAAGTTCTAACAAATCTTATCAGAGAATACAGATTCTAGAAAAAAAATGATGGTGAGACTGCTTCCAACATGACAGCATGAGGAACTCTGGACTGGCTCACCAGCAAAACTAGTGAAAATTATTTTAAAACAACCAGCTAAAATCTTGTTATGGTCGAAGGACACACAGCAACTAAAGAAACACATAAAGAAAATTTATTAAAACTTGGTAAGAACAGTGGGAGTCTGGAATTTGAACTGAGATCGCTTCTTCCTTCATTTGAAACTCAGCAAGATGGAAACTTCAGAGTGGTGCAGCCAAAAACGTAGGGCCTCATTTCCCAGCGCCCAGTTGGAGGGCTATCATCCCAGAAGAGGCAGGATGCCATATTGCTCAGCCTGCCCCCACCTATCTGTTCCTGAAGCTAAGTTAATAGGCAAGTGTAGGCGAGAGGTAGAGTCACTTTTTCTGCCCAGTCTCCAAGGAAGTTCTACCGTAGGTGTGGTGCTTCTGAGAATATTGGGATCCCAATCACCTTTCTCCATGCTGATTAGGCAGTGATTCATCCTGGGAGAGTCAAACAAAAAAGAGCTAAATGTACTGTCCCCACCATCACGATCACTGAGTACTCAGCTCCTAAATTGGGAGGAGTATTACTCAGAAGCTTGCCATTGTTCCCACTTCCAGCTCCATAGCCATAACTCAGAAATTTTGCCTGGAGTGGAGACTCAGAGGTCATAAACCAGAGAGCTCCTGTTCTCTTCCAAAAGGAACTAACTTCATTTGGCACAGAGTGTGAAGAAGTTCAAGCCTAAGGGTGCTCTCAAAAACAAGGTTGTAGTGAAAGGCAATTGGGATGATATTGGTCGAATCATTGGACATATGAACTAAACTGTAGACTAACTAGTTTGCATGAGAGAGCCTGGGAAGGGCATAGCTGGGAGGAGACTGGGGTCAGAACAAATCTCAATAACTGACTTTATGAACTATCCTTTCAAAAGAGTCTGAATTTCGGCCGGCTGAGTGGCACAGTTTGTTAAGAGTTAGCTTAAGAGCGCAAGCCCTGAGCAACAGGGCTGCTGGTTCAATTCTCACATGGGCCAGTGACGCTGCGCCCAAGCTGAGCTGCCAACAGGTGGCAGGATGACTCAGCTGGTGAGAGCACATGCTCCTAACAACAAGATTGCCTGTTCGATGGTGGGCTACGCCCGCCGGCAACTAAGACTGAACTCGGCACCTTGAGCTGAGCTGCCACCTGGATGGCTCAGTGGATAGAGCACACACTCTTATCAACAAGGCTGCTGGTTCAACTCCTGCATGGAATGTTGGCTATGCCCATCCACAACTAAGACTGAACTCGGCACCTTGAGCTGAGCTGCCGCCTGGATTGCTCAGTGGATAGAGCGTGCACTCTTAACAACTAGGCCGCTAATTTGACTCCCGCATGGGATGGTGGCTATGCCCACCCACAACTAAGATTGTGACACAGCACCTTGAGCTTAGAGGCTACTAGCTGCTGATAGGCGCCCTCTGCAACTCAGATTGAAGAACAACAACTTGGCTGCCCCCCTCCCCAATTCCCCGACACTGTTCCCCTCCCCCAATTCCCCAATTTTAATTTTTAAAAAAAGTCTGAATTTCATCGGTTTGTTGGTGAGCAATTTATGCCCCAGGGCATTATTGAAAGCAATAAAGCAACTACCCAGCAATTAGTAGAGTTGAACAGCTTGATATGATCAGGGAAAGAGACAGCTAAAGAGAACCCTGCTTAAACCCCTGTTAACCCAAGGTGACTATGGGCATAACCCAAGGATATACTCCCTGAGGAGCAATATCAGAAGCTTACCAGTGCAGAAGAGAAATAGACTTTACTAAAATAATTCAGCCAGTTACTAAACAACGCCCCCCCTCCAAAAAAAACACAAAAACCTAGCAAATAACAATAAGCACCAGAGGGGAGGCACCAGTACCCAGAGTGGCTACACTATATTATCTAAAATGTCCAATTTCCAAAAATTATTAAGTCATGCAAGGAAACAGGAAAGTATGACACATACCCTGGGGGAACAAAGCAAGCCACAGAAAATGACTGTGAGAGCAACCAGATGTCAAATTTAAGTATTCAGAGTAATTAGCAAATTTGAAGAAAGATCAGTAGTGATTATGCATCCTGAAAAGCAGAGAGGGAAAAAAAAAGAATAAAGAAAAATGAACAGGGCTTCAGGGAAATGTGGAACACTATTAAGTGCAGCAATTTTTGAATAAATCATGGCTGACAAACTTCTTAAATGTATTGAAAAACAATAATTACACATCCAGGAAGCTCAACAAATTCCAGGTGGGATAAGTAAAGAGATCTACAAACAGAAACATGATAGTAAAAATGCGGAAAGCCAAAGACAAGGACAAAATCTTGACAGGAGCAAGAAAAAAAAATGGCTCATTTACAAGGTAATCCCAATAATATTAAAATTTGACCTTTCAGCAGAAACAATGGATGCCAGAAGCCAGTGAGATAACATATTCAAACTGCTAATCAATAATCCTATATTCAGCAAATATATCTTTAAAAAATAAAAGCAAATTAAAGGTACTCCCAGCTAAAGATAGAATATTTGTTGCTAGCAAACCCTCCTTACAAGAAATTCTAAGGAAGTTAGACTGAAAGTGACCCCAAATTCAATTCTTACGAAAAAAATAGACACTAGTAAAGATAATTATATAGTTATAAAACAGTATAAATGTATATTTTTCTCCTTTCTTCTCTTATCCAATTTAAAACAATTGTATAAAACAGTATGTATGTATATGTTTTTGAACTTATATAGAAATGTAATATATTTGCTGATAACAGCACAAAGGAGGTTCATGGGAGCAAGGTTGTATTGGACTAAGAAAATAACTCCAGATGGTAACTTGAATCTGCAAAAATAAGAGAACCAGAAACTATAAATAAGAGGGTTAATATAGCAAAAGCTATAAACATATATTTGCTCTTATTTCTTCTCTTAGCTAGTCTGAAAGACATAAAATTATATAAAGTAATAATTAAAACCATATATTATTGGGTTTGTAACATTTATAGATGTAATATGTATATAATAACAGAAAGTTATATAAGAGTAATTTTGTAAATGTCAGTGGAATTCAGTTAATACAAATTTGAAGCTGATTCTGATAAATTAAGATATACATAGTAAGCCCTAAAGCAACCACTTAGAAAGTTTCTCAAAAAATACATAGTGCAAAAATTATTAAAGATTTGAAAATCTACATTACATAATATTAACTTGATGCAAAAGAAAGCAGTAAGAGGAACAGAGGAACAAAAGAGACAGGAGACACATAGAAAACATAAAGTACAATGGCAGATATAAATCCATCTATATCAATAACATTAAATGTTATTATTTATTGGCTTAAACAATCCAATCAAAAGACAGATTATCAGGCTGGATTAAAAAAATAATATCCAACTGTATGCTGCCTACAGGAGACACATTTTAAATTCAAAATACAGATACATTCAAATGTATACAAATATCAAATCATTATATTGTACACCTAAAACTAATATAAAGTTAAATGTCAATTATACCTCAATAAGAAAATAGAAATAGATTCAAAGTAAAGGGATGGGAAAAGATACATTATGCAAAGAGCAATCACAAGAAAGCAGGAGTGGCTATACTAACATTAAAAAAAAGTAGGCATTAAAAAAA